CCCCACCCCTCTGCACCTGCTCCGCCCCTCCTGCCTGATTCTCCTCCTCAGACTCAGAGCAGCTCTCCGTCCTCCCTGTGATGCTCCTCGGCTCGGCGGCGCTCAGCTCCGGTCCATCCATGCAGCGGAGGACCCACCGACACGTCCTGGTCTCCGCCGCGGGAAAAGCGCGCACCGAGCGGCGGATGAGCAGGGAAATGTAGCGGGAGGGGCTGGGGGGGTCAGAGAGAGAGAACCGGCGGAGGAAAAGACGACCCCGGGGAGGTGCGGGAGTCCCATCAGACAGAGGAGGAAGAGGAGGAGAGTTCCACCGGGACGGGGAGGTGGGGGGAAGGAAGAGGATGCTGATGAGAGTTTGATTCGGACCCGGTTCTCTGTTTTCTGTTGGGTTTCCGGGCTCAGACAGTGGATTTCAAGGTTCTGGAGTCCGGCTCAGTCTCTCTCTCCGATGGGTTCGCTGTAACTTCACCATGAAGTCCGTGTTCTTCAGCCGGTTCTTCATCCTGCTGCCCTGGGTCCTCATCGTCATCATCATGATTGACATCGACAGCAAAAGAACCATCCGGACTCCGGCGTCCTGGAGGACCGGCAGGGCTCTGCGGACCGCGCGCTCCGCCTCCTCCGCCTCGGGGGTCTCAGCCGGCACCCAGCAGAACCAGTCGGCGCTGCCGATCGTCTACGCCATCACCCCGACCTACACCCGACCGGTCCAGAAGGCCGAGCTGACCCGGCTGGCCCACGCGTTCCGCCAGGTGCCCCGGTTCCACTGGATCGTCGTGGAGGACTCGGCGGGGCGCACGGAGCTGGTGGCGCGGTTCCTGGCGCGCTGCGGGGTGCCGTACACGCACCTGCACGTGCTCACCCCGCGCAGGTTCAAACGGACCGGGATGCCGCGCGCCACCGAGCAGCGGAACGCGGCGCTCGCGTGGCTCCGACAGCACCGCAGCAGGCGGGACGCGGGAGTGGTGTTCTTCGCCGATGACGACAACACGTACAGCCTGGAGCTGTTCGACGAGGTGACGTCACTTATCTGGGGTTAAATGAAGGCACGTGGGCAGGGGATGGTAGGCTAGTTGAGAGCAACAACAACACCTGAACAGATGATTGACAGCAGAGTTCTGCTGGTTTATTCAAATAAAAACTAAAACTGAAATCATATCTGTCCCGTTAACACCAGTATGAAGTTTATTTATGCATAGCCTATCTGTTATACATTATTTTATTATATTTTATCTATTTGCACAACCAATATAGGCTTATACTTGAAGTTGATTATGAACTTCAAACCGTTCAGTTAATATCACAACAGATTTTAGAGTTGTGGGGTCGCACAGCGTTGTATACAGATTGCATTTTTCATTGACAACTTGTGCTAGCTTTAATATGTTTCATGTTTCAACTACCAACATTTATACCTAAACACAAAGACATAACCCAGAGGTTGAAGCCAAGATGGGACTAGTGCCCCTGCAGGCTGGTTGAAGTACTGCAAATTGGATCAACTGGTCAACTAAATTCCTCAGGGAGCTAGTAAAAGTGCTCAGGGGCCAAACATCTGGTACTATTGTCATCACATATATTTAATTTAGTTTTATTTTAAATGAAGGTGGACTCAGGCCTGTTGTAGATTATCTAACAGGATCACCTCTGACAAAAATATTGGTTATGTCAAAATTTCACTTTCACTCATTAATAATAGTTATTTTTTCATTCAAGGTCAAATTTTATTTTAGTTGAACTCAGATTACTTGAACAAAGCTGTTACCTTTCTGTTATATTTTTTAAATTACAATTTCCTATGGTTATACGTTGTTACAGGAGGTTGTGGTAGAACAGTGGTTAGTGTTGCAGCTAAACCCACAGCGAAAGGTTTGAGCCCAGGTTGTGTCAAGAAGGCCATCCAGCTTAAAACTGTTGTCAAATATTGTAAGTTTGCTCACTGTGGAGGCTGCTGCAGAACAGAAGAGCTTGAGGGTTTGCCTCATAAAGTTGTGCAACAACATATTAAGTTTGGGGTACCATTGTTTTGTCAAGGCAATATTCTTTATTATGTTTTTTTAAATAGTTCTGGTAAAAAAAAAATCGAAATAACCCTTTTTTGTGATATTGTCAGTTTCAGTTTATTTCAGTGACCTTTAAGGAATTTTATTCTCTTTAACCAAAATGTAGAAACACATTGTCTATAGAAGAACTCTGCAGCCAGCGGGGTGTTCCAACTTCCTGTTGTGGAGTGTTGTTGAGCATTCAGAGCAGATTTAATGAAGGGGGGGGGGGTCCTAACTGTGCGTCAGCTGCAACACAATAATCCTTTCATGGATACAAACAATCCTGCAGAATGAGTCTGATTGTTCCCGAGTACAACCTTTCAGAAACACCTGCCTCCAGTATGGAGGACCAAACCTATCATTATTGGAAATAAATGTATAAATATATAACTGGCGTATTAAAATAAATTATAGGGTCAAAAAGAAGTTTGACAAATAAATTATTGTGCCATTAAATCAATTACATCAATTATCCATCCATCCATCCATCCATC